AGTTGCATGACATAATTTGCATTTATTTGATTTTAGAACATTATTTTCATCAACTATTTTCTGAAAATAGTCCCAAATATCAGAAGCCACTTTAATTTTATTGTTTGAAGGTTAAGAATGGGTGGAAGCTAAGGAAAGAAAAAAATCAGCTTCGCTAATATTATCAGACGACATTTTTTGATTGTATTCGGCGTATGATTGTAAATTCAAAATTTGTTACACTTGGCGTAGTTTATCATTTATATAGTTTAAAAAACGTGTAAATGTAACACGTAAAAACACGTCTATCAATAAAAGGTTAAGGGCGATCGATCGATAAGACGATAAAACCATCTTTTATAAGACCGTTAAAAAGACCCCGATCCTATGATCAATCCTGTCAATCCGTCCCAAAAAAGATTGGTATAAGACCAGTCCTATGACCAGACCAATGGTCTTTCGGTCTGGATCGGATCGTTCCCATCCCTAGTGGTAATCCTTTAACTACTGAGGAAAAAGACAGGTTAGATGCTTTGGGATTAGAAGATACCATAAAAAGGAGTAGGGTAGATAGTGATGCTCAAACTTGACTAAATGTTAAGTATCCTCTTGATAAAAGAAGTAAAGTGGAGAAACTTGACTTTAGTTCTTTAGGTTTACAAGAAGATTTATCACTAGAAGGATTTACTAATTTAAAAGTTTAGATTGTAATGATAATTAATTGACTGATTTGGATATTAGTGATTGTTATAAATTGGGATATTTGGATTGTTCGAATAATTATCAAAATGAAGAGAGAATTGATTTTTTAGATGTTAGTACATGTAAGAAATTAAAAGAATTACATGCTAATCATTGTGGCTTAGGATTTTTGGAATTGGCAGAGCAAATATATACTTTAAATTTGGCTTTCAATAATCTAAGCAGCCTTGGACTTGATTTAACTAATCTTGCTGATTTAGAGTATTTAAATATTGGTTTAAATGTTTTAAGTAATTTAAATTTGACTAATAATAAAAAATTAAAGCATATTTACTGCTATGAAAATCAAATTGAAAAACTAGAAGTAAAGCATTTAACAGAATTAGAGAACTTATTTTGTTATCATAACAATTTGAGAAAATTGGATTGCAGTGGACTAAAAAACTTAAAAGATTTATATTGCACTAATACTTCTATTGATTTTGACAATTTACTAAAAACATTGAATGTTAATAGTTGTGAAGCACTAGAGAATTTGGATTGTGCAGAAAATAATGGTCTGAATGAATTAAATCTTATTAATTTACCTAAACTCAGTTTTGTTTCTACTAAAGAATGTGGTCTTAATCAACTTGAAATCAAAAATTGTCCTAGTTTGAAGTTTTTGGATTTTAGTAGGCAATTTGTAATACATGACAACAAAAAAAAAATATCTTTATTACCTACTCTGTTTGATACTGATAGCATAAAAAGTCTTAGAAATCTTGTTTACCATAAGGATGCTAAAAATGTTCCTGATTGAAAAACCATGCCAAAAATAGAAAAAGTGCTTATTGAAGAAAGAAAAGTTGTCAAAGATAAAGATGGTAATGATGAAAAGGTTTTTTTTATAGAAGAAATTGATGCTTTAGCACAGCGGAATACTAGCCGAGTGATAAAAATACTTGCTAATCCTAATGATTACTCTCTTGAAGATATTCTCAAATTAGGTAAGAAAGAGTTAAAAGGAGTATCTGAAAAGTTAAAAGAAAAATTAGTTGAACTAGCAAAACAAAAATATGAAGAAATAAGATTACAAAAAGAAAGGGAGTTCATGAATGAATTAAGAAGGAAGTTTAATATAGATGAGGAAGGAAAATCTAATCCAAAAAAAAGAGAAGGAGTTTTTCTCTTAGAAAAAGATAGTGATTCTCCAAGTGAAAAAGAAACACCTCTTCCTACTCCTCAGGAATTACCAACACCAAAGAATAATAATAAAGATAAAAATGTTTATGAGTTTAATGAAGAAGAGCAAAAGGCTTTTTCTCTTTTTGATTTGGAACAATTAAAACAATTTTTTATTCAAAATAAGATAAAAATGTTATTCTTGATAGTAATAATAAACTAGTAGTTGAATATTATAATAATAATAATAATAATAAAGCTGAATTATAACAAGTATTTAATTATTTAAAAAGCAATAATAAAACCTCTTTATCCCATTCTGAATTTAAACAAATAATTGCTGAGAAAAAGCAAGAACAATTACCATCAACCAATCTAACTAATTACCTACCTTACATTTTGG